TTTTTAATTAGCCAGGCATGGTGGCATGCATCTGTAGTCTAGCCACCTGGGAGGCTAAATGAGGAGTATCACTCTAGCCTGGGAGTTGGAGGATGTAGTAAACTGTGATCCATACCACTGTTCTTCAGTCTGGGTGACAGAATGAAACCCTGTCTCAAAAACAAAAGCAAAAAACAGAGAGGTAAAGAACTCTTAGGTGATTAATGTGCATAAATCCCAGAAAATGGTCAAATTGAAAAGAGCCTAAGATTTGATACTCAATATCCATGTGGACTGACTCAATTGAGGCAGGCCAGCTGAGGAGATGAGACCTGAGCAGGCCCTTTAAAAGGTGTCATTAGGTACTGGTTTGTGGAGATCAGGCCAGACTTTGAGCCCTAGGAGGCAGGGCTGCAGGGTAGCAGTGGGTTGGGGCAGCGACAATATTGGCTGGATATAGTTGAGTGGGGGCAAATTGTGGAGAGCTTTGAAACTATAAAAGTTTAGTTTTGTTTGTTTTGTCTTCATATAGAAAAGTCATTAAGATTTTGAACAGGACATAATAATATGTCTAAGACTGTTTTATTAATAATTTTGAAAACTCAATCAGGAAAACGGCTCAAAGTAAGAGACTGGAAAAAGGAGGAGGCTATGCATCTGCTCTAGCATCATTGGGAATAAAATAGAATTGATAGTGTGAGAAGTAGGAAACCTTTGGAATAGAAATAAGGTTGATCCAGCCTAAATTTGGTCTGGCGCTCTGGGGTAACTTTTAGACTCTCCCAGCAACATGTACTAGAAAAATCTGATCCTCTGGCCGGGCGCAGTGGCTCACGCCTGTAATCCTAGCACTCTGGGAGGCCGAGGCGGGTGGATTGCTCAAGGTCAGGAGTTCAAAACCAGCCTGAACAAGAGCGAGACCCCGTCTCTACTATAAATAGAAAGAAAATTAATTGGCCAACTAATACATACAGAAAAAATTAGCCGGGCATGGTGGCGCATGCCTGTAGTCCCAGCTACTCGGGAGGCTGAGGCAGTAGGATCGCTTGAGCCCAGGAGTCTGAGGTTGCTGTGAGCTAGGCTGCCGCCATGGCACTCACTCTAGCCTGGGCAACAAAGTGAGACTCTGTCTCAAAAAAAAAAAATAATAATATATATATATTTGAAGTTACTGATTTTTTTTTCTTAAATATAATTTCTCTTAGGATATTTGTTAGAGAAACAAAAGGTCATTGTAGCTCCCACTAGTTAGAAGAAATTGCTTAATAAAGAGATAAGGAGACCAGGATTTGAGGGGGATTGTTTGAGGCTAGGATTCTAAACCAAGCTGGGCAACATAGTGAGACCCCTTCTCTACAAAAAAAATTTTTTTTAATTAGCCAGGGATGGTGGCAAGCATCTATAGTCTAGCCACCTGGGAGGCTAAATGAGGAGTATCACTTTAGCCTGGGAGTTGGAGGGTGTAGTAAACTGTGACCCATACCACTGTTCTTCAGTCTGGGTGACAGAATGAAACCCTGTCTCAAAAACAAAAGCAAAAAACAGAGAGATAAAGAACTCTTAGGTGATTAATGTGCATAAATCCCAAAAAATGGTCAAATTGAAAAGAGCCTAAGATTTGATACTCAATATCCATGTGGACTGACTCAGTTGAGGGAGGCCAACTAAGGAGATGAGACCTGAGCAGGCCCTTTAAAAGAAGGTGTCATTAGCTACTGGTTTGTGGAGATCAGGCCAGACTTTGAGCCCTAGGAGGCAGGGCTGCAGGGTAGCAGTGGGTTGGGCCAGCGACAACATTGGCTGGATATAGTTGAGTGGGGGCAAATTGTGGAGAGCTTTGAAACTATAAAAGTTTAGTTTTGTTTGTTTTGTTCTCATGTAGAAAAGTCATTAAGATTTTGAACAGGACATAATAATATGTCTAAGACTGTTTTATTAGTAATTTTGAAAACTCAATCAGGAAAACGGCTCAAAGTAAGAGACTGGATAAAGGAGGAGGCTATGCATCTTCTCTAGCATCATTGGGAATAAAATAAAATTGATAGTGTGAGAAGTAGGAAACCTTTGGAATAGAAATAAGGTTGATCCAGCCTAAATTTGGTCTGGCGCTCTGGTGCCTTTTAGACTCTCCCAGCAACATGTACTAGAAAAATCTGATCCTCATTCTTCACATATGGGCATCCATCCTAGGATCTCTCTCTTATTTTAGAAATTTATTACCTTCTTGTGTTAATATTATTTTCTATATGAATAGAACAGCATGAATTTGCCAGTTTTAACTGCTTTCTTTTTTTTTCTTTTTTTGAGACAAGAGTCTCTGTTGTCCGGGCTAAAATGATGTGGTGTCAGCGTAGCTCACAGCAACCTCAAACTCCTGGGCTCAAGCAATCCTGCTGCCTCAGCCTCCCAAGTAGCTGGGACTACAGGCATGCGCCACCATGCCCGGCTAATATTCTCTATATATAATTAGTTGGCCAATTAATTTATTTCTATTTATAGTAGAGACAGGGTCTTGCTCTTGCTCAGGCTGGTTTTGAACTCCTGACCTTGAGCAATCTGCTCCTCGGCCTCCCAGAGTGCTAGGATTACAGGCGTGAGCCACCCGCCCGGCCAAGTTACTCTTAATTGATCCATTTTTCCTAAGTAAATGTAGATTTTAATTCAAGTTTAATATAGGAGATTTATATGTAATGTATAATAACATAGTATACCCAATATTATTCTACATTAGGTATTTTTCCCATGACCTACTTTTCAATTTGGAAATCCGTTTTTTCATTTTAGGTTTTTGGGCCATTTATATGCTGCAGAAGCACTCATCTCTCTCGACAGAATATCTGATGCTATTACTCACTTGAACCCAGAGAATGTCACTGATGTCTCCTTAGGGGTCTCTTCAAATGAGCAGGACCAAGGTTAATGAGGACACGTTTGATCAGAACTGGTCACCGTTCCTACTTCCTTCCTGTCGTAACTCAGGATATGTGGAAACTTAAGGGCATGGCTGTAAAGAAAAGGAAGCTGTGGGCCAGCTTTCCACATTTTGGGCTGTACTTTATAGTAATTGTTTGCTAAGTAGACCTGGGAATTGATTATCACATGATCTAAATTCTCGCTTTTAAAAGGCTAATAGGCTGGTAGTGTTAGGACATTTATGTTGGTTCTAACATATTTTTTAGATACGTTGATTCTACCTGTATTTTTTTCTTTGGAGTGCTTCCACTATCAAAGGGGGAATAAAACTGTTGCATTCAAAAGTCAGTTTTAAATCATGGCTACGTTTTTGAGGAAGTTAAATTATGTGACATTCACTTTATTCAAGGTTAGCTCTCAGGTTAATGTGGTGGTGGGTGGTTGCAATCTGATGTCTCTTTTTTTTTTTTTTTCATGAGCCAAAGTTTTTATTTGTTCACTTCTTGCATTTGAAGTACTCTTCGATGACATCCTTGGCCTGAGATTCTTTGCCATAGTCCTTAACACAACTGCAACCAACCACCTTACGGGGTTTCCCTTCTCTGTCAATTTTACAAAGGCCTACCCATTCCCCTAGTTTCTTGTTGTCATCAACCTTAATTAGGTTGATTTGATGTTCAGCACAAAGGGCTTCCACCTACTTGACATACATGGGCTCATCACAATTGGATGCAAGCACACAAAGATGGGCTTGGCGCTTGTCTAAGGCTTTGGCAGCTTCACGAATTCCACGTGCAAGGCCATCGTGGATGAGGGCGGTCTTCAGCACCTCTTGTAAAGCAGTATTAACATCCATTATACCTCCAGCATTATGCCTTCCTCGGCCATGGCGGTGGGTTACTGGTGAAGCTGAATCTTGGAAGCACCCAAGCCTCTGCCTCCGCACGACTCGGCGGCCGCAGGGAAAGAGCTGATGTCTCTTTTTGTTTTTTGTTTTGTTTTTGTTTTGAGACACAGTCTCACCGTGTTGCCCAGGCTTCAGTGCCATGGCGTCAGCCTAGCTCACAGCAACCTCAAACTCCTGGGCTCAAGCAATCCTTCTGCCTCGGCCTCCTGAGTAGCTGGGACTACAGGCATGTGCCACCATGCCCAGCTAATTTTTTCTTTATATTTTTAGTTGGCCAATTAATTTCTTTCTATTTATAGTAGAGATGGGGTCTCGCTCTTGCTCAGGCTGATCTCAAACTCCTGACCTTGAGTGATCCTCTCGCCTTGGCCTCCCAGAGTGATAGGATTATAGGCATGAGCCACCACGGCCAGCCTGATGTCTCTTAATAGAACCTCCACTACGTGAAAAGTAAATTTGATAAATTATTTTATAGTATATTTCCATTTCATAAAGAAAGTTACATTTTTTAAAAAATATGCTCTGTTGTCTTGCCTCTCAGATTCATTTTCATGTTTTTATAGGCTCAGACAAAGGTGAAAATGAAGCAATGGAATCCTGTAAGTAAGAAGTTTTGTAAATACTTAAGTAGTCTGGCCTGCATCCCCAAAATTTCGACTCTAAATCTTGTGTCATCCATTTGAAAGCCTGAGGAATAGTGCTGTGCTTTTTTCTGAGTGGCTCCTCAAGGGCGGTGGATTGGGTTGCTCCCTTGCCTTTGGCACGGCCTCTTCACCTGGATCTACACTCTTTTTTCCCCAGCTGGGAAGCGGGCCCCTCAGTGCTACCCCAGTTCCGTCAACTCTGCCAGGACTGTGATGCTGTTCAACCTTGGCAGTGCTTACTGCCTGAGGAGCGAATATGACAAAGCCCGAAAATGTCTCCAGCAGGTGAGCCCAAGAGTGGGAGGGGCTGAACCTTCTTATAAAGCAGCCAGCAAAGGGTTTGAGGTTTATGGCTTTTGTTATTTTGTTTGAGGCATCTGGTCAGTTTGTTGAACAGTTGAAATATTACTCTTTGAGGTTTACAAATATTCTTGCAAGGTAAACAACTGATCAGTCTTGCAAATGAACCTATACACTTAGTGGGGAGTTTTTCTTGATGATTATAGTAATTAAAATTCCAAAAGATTGAAAGCCATCTAAGAGACCACTGAAATAAATAATGGCACAGCCATATAGTCGAACACAATGCAGCTATAAACTCTATGCATTAAAGTGAATGGATGTCCAAGTGAAGAGAGCAAGGTATAAAACAGTTTCTTAATCGCGGTGACTCAAAAGGCTGAGGCAGGGATCACTTGAGCCTAGGATTTCAAGGCTGCAGTGAGCTATGATCATACCTATGCACTTTAGCCTGGGTGACAGAGCAAGACTCCATCTCTGAAAAAAATGAAAATAAATTTTTAAAAATTTCTGCCTAATCCTATATGTATGTAAAAGATCTCTGAAAGGACACACCAGAAACTGCTAACAGTTGTAGGGGTAACAGGGTGAAACTGTGTGGCTGGAACACTAGAATGGGGAGACTTTTCAATGTATACTCTTAATGCTTTTTAATTTTGAATTGTATAAATGTATATTCAAAAAGTTAATTATGGCCAGGAACGGTGGCTACACCTATAATTCTAGCACTCTGGGAGGCAGAGGTGGGAGGATCGCTTGAGGTCAGGAGTTCAAGACCAGCCTGAGCAAGAGTGAGACCCTATCTCTACTGAAAATAGAAAAAATAAGCCAAGCACAGTAGTACACACCTGAAGTCCCAGCTACTCAGGAGCCTGAGGCAAGAGGATTGCAGTGAGCTATGATGACACCACTGCACTCCAGCCAGAGCGACAGAGTAAGACCTGTCTCAAAAAAAAAAAAAAATACAAATACACCTTTCAGAAAGTCAGTGTTCAGAAGAGCAGTATTGGGCAAACTCCATACACACTAAAGAAAGCTGCTGGCAATATATAACTAAAATAGACCTCTGAATTCTACTACTGACATGGTATATCATCAAGTCTCAAGGGAGATTCTGATTGGACCTCTTTAGGTTACCTACTCATCCCTGGGCATGGAACCATATGTGCAGTAGGTGGCTGGATACTGCCATTGGCAACCTGAAAGGGGTTTCACAGAATTAGAAAGGGATAATTCCTCAAAAGGAAACTGACTCAGCAGATATGTGTTGAGCACTAACTTCTGTGCCAAGCAGTGGGAGTATGACTGTAAATAAGTAGACATGATACAGTCTGCCCCCATATACCTTACAGTTAGGAGACGCCTTTCTAAAAGGGGGATTACAAAGTCAGACTATGCAGAATTTTAAAACTTCTAATACATGAATAGAAAGTTTGTGCCAATTCACTAGCAGCACATGAGAGCCCACATCCCCACATGCTTGCCAGAGTAAAATTGAAATTAAACCTATTCTCAGGAAATATGGTTGCTTCCAGAACTTCCTGCCTATGTGGGCAACCTTGTTGTATCTAGAAAGGAGGATGTGTTACCATGTGGAAATGAGCTACATGTGATCCTTAGTCAACTTAGTGTCACCTGGTCAGTATTTCTGATCTAAAATCAGAAAAGTTAAGCGGTAGACTATGCAGGGTGACGTGTTTGCTACTTCTCTAGGAATGGAGTGCATGAGTTCAACTGGTAAGAGCTAGAATGTTTCGCTGTTCTCAGTGGCAAGGCTAGGGTGTTAACAGCCCTTCTCAAAGTGCCCCCGGACCACAGTCACTGCAGCAAACAGGGCTTTTGATCTAAAGTTACAGTGTGTACAGTCCAACTCAGGTTCTCGTACAGCAGGTGGCCATGGCTGCTGCCACGCTGGGAGAGACAGATGGGGTCAGGCCTGGTTTGGGGTCTGAAGGGGGTTTTGTTTTGGTCCCTTGGTTTTTAGGTTAATCCAATGGCTGGACCTTTGTTAATTGGGAGGCCCACCGTGCCTGGGAGGGCAGAACAATGATGTGAAGAAGGGCTCCGAGTAGATGTTTCCGAGGTTGCCTGCCCACCACTAACCATTCTGAACAGCCAGTAAGCAAAATGCCGTAAAGTCTCATAAAGTTGTTGCCTTGAACTCTTGTATTTTAGAGAAACCTGCAGACTGTGGTCAGTGCAAAGAACAATAAATGGCCTGTGTGTACTAGCCACTTGGATGGGAAATAAAATGATGTAAAGATCTTGGCTATATGGCTTTCTTATAAAGCTAGGCCTAGAAGTGTAAATTCTCATTTTTTTCAACTAAGTTGTTATACCTCAGTGATATAGTGAGAAGAATAAAAGTCTCCCCACCTCATTCATGAGGAACTTCTCAGGAGCACATGCTCTGGGTGACATGCCCCACTGGTCTCTCCTTGTGCTGCCAGGAACTAACCTAGTACAAGTTTCTGGTTTGCCCAGACATCTTCCACATTCAAGCTTCAGCCTTCAATGCCATTTTCCCCCATTTTCTGCCTATCAAATATCTGCCCTGCAGAGACTAAGGGAGGCCTCCCTTACCCCAAAGCTCTTTATTTGAAAGCAAATTCTTTCCTTGCCTTATCTTCCTTAAGAAAAAGAAACTTATTTCTTTTTCTCCATATTCACAGCACATTTAACTGGCCTCTTTCCCTGGCATTTAGGTAATGCCAGGGTATGCAGCAATTTAGGTAAAGTTGTTTGGATTATTGTTAGTTATTTACATGCTGGTTTATCATCAGGGGAAGTCCCTGTCTTATCTCCACACCCACCTCTGGTCAACCAGTATTTGTAGAAGTACATTTTCTGATTAGATTAAGGGAAGAATTAAAGCGGACTGGAAGTAGTGAGCAACTGAGAGTAGATGGGGAAGTACAAGTTGATAGTAAGGTGAAGAAAAGGCCACAGCCCAGAGAGGCCCAGACTGAGAAAATAAACCTATCATTTCAGCGCCTTTGACCAGAGCAGTCCAGGCTTCCTTTCCTCAGGACTGGATCAGAGAGAAACTGCTGGTTGGTGCTATGGCTCTTAATCAGATTTAAGGGCAGCATGTTGCCTAAGCCAATAAATGATTCTATTTGACCAAATTGTATTATGTTTCAGTCCTTAAGAATAAGGAAATCATTAAAAAAAAAAAAAAAGAATAAGGAAATCATAAAGGTGATATTGTCCTATGGGAAAAAAAAAAAGAGTAAGGAAATCAAACATGCTAAGAGGTACATGTTTTCTATATTATTACCATTTAAGTTTGAATTCTTATTCCCGACATTGGCAACTTACAGCCTACAATACTGAGATGTTGCTTAGGAAAACAAATGGGCATGCAGATTTGGATGTAAATGCAACTGTAGCAGACCTGGACAGATGACTAACATGTACAATCAGGGGTGTCGGATCACCCATCTCAAAACCCAGAATAGCCAAGAGACGGAATAAGAACTCCAAGCATGTGAAAACCAAGAGGGAAGAAAAACTTTCCCCTGTTAAGAACTTGTTATGGATTAGGCAAGCGAAAATATTGAATCATTTAACTAAAAATTACATGTCTAAGCCAGAGGCAGTGGTGCACACCTGTAGTCCCAGCTACTTGGGAGGCTGAGGAAGGAGGATTGCTTGAGCTCAGGAATTCAAGGCTGGCCTGAGCAACATATCAAAACCCTGGCTATAAAAAAATATATATGTCTAGCTTAATTGGTAAGTTTTAAGACAAAGGCAGCTGAGGGACGTCTAGTTTAGCAGAACAGTAGGTAGTCCCCAGGAAGTTATGTTTGAATGAGGTTGAATAAATTTGCTACCTTGTCTTTGGTTGGCAGATGTACTTGGAGTTTGTATCTTTTTTTTTTTTATTTCGGCATATTATGGGGGTACAGATTTTAAGGTTTTAATAAATGCCCTTTTCCCCCCCTCCCCCCACAAGTCTGAGTTGGAGTTTGTATCTTAAGCTGTTGGTTTTTCATGGGTGTCTTTCTGTTTTGAGCAAAGGCGGCTTCAATGATCCATCCTAAAGAGGTGCCCCCTGAGGCCATCTTGTTGGCAGTCTACCTTGAACTGCAGAATGGTGAGTAATTCTCTCTAGTTAGAACTTTAACCCTTAAAAGTACCCAAGATTTTTAATGTGTGCTTTTTCTCTTAAAAATCAAAACTTTGGGCCAAACACAGTGACTACGCCTGTAATCCTAGCACTCTGGGAGGCCAAGGTGGGCGGATTGCTGGAGGTCAGGAGTTTGAAACAAGCCTGAGCAAGAGCGAGACCCCGTCTCTGCTGTAAATAGAAAGAAATCAATTGGCCAACTAATATATAGAGAAAAAATTAGCCAGGCATGGTGGCGCATGCCTGTAGTCCCAGCTACTCAGGAGTCTGAGGCAGCAGGATTGCTTGAGCCCAGGAGTTTGAGGTTGCTGTGAGCTAGACTGACTCCAAGGCACTCACTCTAGCCTGGGCAACAAAGCAAGACTCTGTCTCAAAAAAAAAACACAAAAAAATCAAAACTTTGCCTTCCTTGAAGATATCACCCATCAAATTCTTTTAAACAAAAATGTAGGTAGAGGTTGAGGTCTATCCCACTGGGGCTTTTCCTGTAGCTGCAAATGGTTGGAAACGTCTCATAGAGTAACTTTGTGGTTTTGCTTTACTCACAGGACTGTTTGTTAGATCTGTAGGAAGGAACTACAAGACAGTTGCTAAAAATATGAAAGACCTAATAATTTGTGTTTGTTTGTTTGTTTGTTTGTTTGTTTGTTTGTTTGTTTGTTTTGAGACAGAGTCTTGCTTTGTTGCCCAGGTTAGAGTGAGTGCTATGGCATCAGCCTGGCTCACAGCAACCTCAAACTCCTGGGCTCAAGTGATCCTCCTGCCTCAGCCTCCTGAGTAGCTGGGACTATAGGCATACACCACCATGCCCGGCTAATTTTTTCTATATATATTTTCTAGTTGTACAAATAATTTGTTTCTATTTTTAGTAGAGACGGGGTCTCGCTCTTGCTCAGGTTGATCTCAAATTCCTGAGCTCAAGCAATCCGCCCGCCTCGGTCTCCCAGAGTGCTAGGATTACAGGTGTGAGCCACGGCACCCGGCCAGATCTGTACTATTCTTGAGTGTGATGGCTTCAGGAACTAATGCGATTTGAACTCATTTATTTTTCCAAAGGGTGTCAAATGGAGAACCTGGCAGATCTACTCTAAAAATGACCCTAAAGTAACTGAAAGAAATTAGATCCCAAAGATTCTTTTTTTTGAAATAGAGTCTCACTCTGTTGCCCCAGCTGGAGTGCCATGGCGTCAGCCTAGCTCACAGCAAGCTCAAACGATCCTTCTGCATCAGCCTCCCAAGTACCTGGGACTACAGGCATGCACCACTAATTTATTCTATATATTTTTAGTTGGCCAATTCATTTCTTTCTATTTTTAGTAGAGACAGGGTCTCACTCTTGCTCAGGCTGGTTTGGAACTCCTGACCTCAAGCGATCTGCCCGCCTCAGCCTCCCAGAGTGCTAGGATTATAGGCGTGAGCCACTGCTCCCAGCCGATCCCACAGATTCTTGCTGGGGAATTTAAATTTTTATCAGAATGTTCATATTCAGATGGAGATAAAAGAAGCCAAAATGAAAAAAAAAAGAATTGTGGCAAGTAACTTCTGGGCTGACAAAACAACTGTGGATTAAGGATATGTTCTATTATAAAGGGCCATCTTGAAGGTAGAGCTTCAGAGACTCTACCCTTTGAAGAACTAAGGCTACCCTTGATGGACAGTAGAAGGAACCACATGTTAAATTCCTTGAATGAAAATTTATTTGACTTTAAATAATTTTGCCTAATGCCATCATAAAAAAAACCCAAAACTTTTTTTTATAAAAGAAAAAGAGAAAATATAATTAGAGAGTTTTTGATATCCTACAAATACCTCCTTGCAAGTTAAGCATATTTTCTTTTATCTGTGAAAATGCAGAATCATAACTTCTGACACTTAATTATAATTAATCTCTACTAATTAACTTTTCTCTTAGGCAGCTAAATGACTCTAATTGAAAACATAAGTCAGAATTCCTGTTGCTTTGAATTCTACACCGTAGTATTTTGAACACAGATGTCATTAATGAGTTTTACAGTAAGCCAGTTCTTGCTGAGGATTATTTATTTAAACATAAATCCAGGTCATGCCTCTAGAGCATATGTGATCTCTAGGGTGTGGCTTCCTAGAAAAAAGGCTATAAGCCTTAAATATGAGATGGCATAAAATAGAAAAGAGATGTGAATGGGATAAATTATAATAGAAGGGATAGAAATATTAAGAGTTCTGAGTCACACCCTAGTACAGTGATACATGCCTATAGTCCCAGCTATTCAGGAGGCTGATGTGGGAGGGTTATTTGAGCCCAGGAGTTTGAGTTTGCAGTGTGCTACAATCATGCCTGTAAATGGCCACTGAACTCTAGCCTGGACAGCAGAGAAAGACCCCATTACTTTAAAAAAAAAGAGAGAGATCTAAGTTATACCTCCTTGTTGATCATGGAAACCCTTACAAGGCTCCCTTTTTTTTTGTAGCTGAAGAAGTAGTTTTAAGTGCCTGGTATGCAGTAAGCCTTGGACTCCTTAAAGACTTGATTAGGGTTAGTGCACAGTCCTAGATCCCTTCTTTTATATAGCTCACCTGTAACAAGTTCTTCCCCCGCCCCTCGGAGCTCCAAAAGAGAAAAATGTAGCAAGTTCTTAACCTGGGCTGTACCTTGAGATCACTAGGAAGCTTTTAAAAATCCCATTGCCCAGGCCACACCCTACATCACTTAAATCAGAATTTTGGGAGATGGGTCGTAGGCATTGTGTGTACAGCCAAGGCTACAGACCCACCACTTTTCTAGATCATCTTTTACCTCACTTGCAGAATTCTGATGGGTAGCTTTCTGTGCGGTGGTATTATTGTGTGCTTTGTTTTTTACCGGGATGTGTTTTTACAGGTAATACCCAGCTGGCCTTACAGATCATCAAAAGGAATCAGCTGCTCCCTGCAGTGAAAACACACGCTGATGTGAGAAAGAAGCCAGTGTTTCAGCCTGTCCACCCGATCCAGCCCATTCAAATGCCAGCTTTCACCACTGTGCAGAGAAAGTGATATTGCACTTTTGGAAAACTGTTACCTGAGACCCAGGGTGGTATTCACTGGCCTTTTTCGTTGTATCACAGCAAAATGAATAAAAGACAGATGGTGAAGGTTATTAATTTTGAAGACAGAATTTTGAGACATTCTCTACCTGTGACTTTTTTGCCAGAAGCATACTTAAAATTAAGGATTCACAAACTCATTTTCTGCTGTTTTTCTTTAATTTCTGCCTGTTAATTTTGAACCATTATTCAACATGTGTCATAGGCAATTAAAACACGATCTTATCAGAAGTTATAGTCTTTTCTTGCAACAGAATATTTAGCATCTGAGATTTAGTGTTAAATATTTTAAAAATTCACACAAGAACATCAGCAATAGATAAATAGCCAGTCCAGAAGCTGACCTGGGGTGGAGGGAAGGGAGAGAGATAATTGATGTGTTTTATGCCTAGTTGTGACTAAAGGGACCAGAAAATGTGTAATAACCCATAGGGCTGGTATAATTGGGTTAAGAAGAGATGACTGATCTGTTAGGAATAATTTCCTTAAAAATTACAAATACAGACAAATAAGGTTCAGTGCACTTGGCTTGTTCTATGCTCTGTACCCTTAGGCAGAAGCTCTGGAGTCTGTTAGCATGTAGTTCAAGGTCCATTGCTCACCCCTTTGCAAATGCAAGCAAGAATGTAAAAGCTTCTTCCCAAAAGACAGATATGTTTTATGGGACTGACATTGACAAATTTGCCAATAGGGTAGATGTATGCTAACTTTAAGTAGAAAAAAATAACACAGATTTGCTTTAGAAAACTGGGTGACCTCTAGTTAAGATAGTTTTTAAGCATTAATAGATTCATCACAGCTTGCCATTTAGGAATATCCTTTGCCGCCTACATCTCTTCAGTTCCCTAGTTTGGAGACCAGCCTCAGGGAAGTGTAACACACTAGCTGAATCTACATGGTTCCTCAGTTTCAGAAATAGAGAGGCAAGTGTTTGGATAAGCACATGATTTATCTGAAACCATCTGAATTATTCTGTTGCTGACCATAAAAAGAATTCAGATAGGGATATATGTACTGGAACTGAGTATCTGTGATTTAACTAGGCATTGCCCACAGATGCAGAGACAGGAAAAATTTCTTCCTCCACTTAAACATGGATGGATGTGGGAAGGGGTTTCCTTGTTTCGTTGCCACATTGCAGAGCAGATTCCAGGTGGATACAGAAGGCAGAGGTGGCCTACAGACTTTGGGCCTCTTTGAAGCCCTTTCCAGATGAGGTGAGAGTAGGACCCTTTTGCTGCACTGGTATTGATCTCAGTCTGCAGCCTCTGCTTTCCCACGTCCCAGACCAACGACAGCAGTGTGGAACCCCCCCAAATTCTGCAGGATGGTAGCAGAGTTGCTTAGCCTGAGCATTTTCTGGAGGGTAAGTTCACAGACTTCATAAATTGTTAGGAACCCACATGATCTTGGTAGTATGGAGTAGGAAAAGGCCTGTAATTGTACTTGAAAACAACACATCTTTGGAGAAATCCTAAGAAATTAGAACTTCTCTCTGCATGCTGGTTTGTTTATGGGAAAGCAGGAATAGCTATGAAGGGCAAGGCAGGCCCCATGTTAAATAAGAATACAGTTGGCTGCAAGTAATAAAAAATAGATCTATGACTTAAAGATTGTTTTTCTCCCCCTTGAGAAGGGAATATGTAGGTAGCTGCTGGCCTTGGTTCTAGTATCCAGTGATGCCATCAGGGATTCAGCTCTATTCTTCCATGCCACTATCCTTAACATTTGAGCTTTTGTCCCCCTGGTCATAAGATGTTCCAGCATCACATTGAAGGTAAGAAGAGGGCACAAGTAGCTAATCTTGACAGGAGACTATTAGGAACAAAGCTTTGTCAGAAGACCCCAGCAGACCTCAGCTTACATCCCTTTATCAAATCATGTCTCACATAGCCATCCTTAGCTGCAGGGAATTGTGGGGAAGAAGTCACTAACAGTGCCTGCTTCTCTTTCTGGGATAGCCCTGCACGTCTCAATGGGAGGCCAGTTAAGTGTTTTCCCAACCAGGTGAACTATATCTGATGCCTTGTTTTGAGTTTAATGTTCCAGCATCTCAGCTTTGCAAACCTCCACTGCCCACCCTCAGCAGAGCCGAGCAAATTAAATGTAAGCTCTTCACCTCTGAGGCTCTGCTCATAGTGGTTCCCGAAGCCAGGAAGGCTTCTTCTCACCTGATTTTCCTGCCCCAATTTGTTAAAGCCACCTCTGCTAACTAACCACAAAAGTAGTATATAATCCTGTCTATACTAAAGAGGCTTTCAGTGCCACTTGTGGGTATAGTAGCATGTACCTATAGTGCCAGCTACTTGGGAGGCTAAGATAGATCACTTGAGCCCAGGAGTTCAAGGCAGCAGTGAGCTGTGATCACACTGAACTCCAGCCTAGGCAACAGAGCAAGACCCCTAAAATAAATAATAATAAATATATATAATTAAATCAATGAATGCTACTTCTCTGAAGTTTTTTCTAGCCGTCCCCAGTTTCTTCCCCCTTTGTGTGTCTGGTATATACACTTTGTTATGTGGTATGTGTTTTTCTGGAATTTAACAGGTCTGGGTGTTGTAGGCCTCATTCTTAAAGAATAACATGTTTTTTCCTTCTTTCTTGATTTTGAAAGTGGAGGGAATAACATCTTATTTGCTGGGGTTTTGAATTCTGAGAAGAGCCCCATGAATTCTGTTCAAACTTCACCCCCAATTCAGCTGCACCATATACAAAATAGGAACAGATTCGTCTCATGGATCCATTAACAGACCCAGTGGAATGTTGTTGGAAGTGTCTCTGAAACTACAAGGTGGAACTCTCAGAACAGCTGGAGTAACAGTCCTCCGTTATGCCTCCTGGCCCTTAACCCCTAAGGTGGCCTGGCCCCCTGTAGAGCTCAAGCCTTGCTCTCCACTGGCAGGTAGGCCTAGCAACCTTCCACGGCCTTTCCCAATCCACTTCCACCTGCCTGCACATGGACACCACTCACCCTCCACCGCCTCTTCCATGGCAGAGTGCTACCCTTTCATAACAAACCATGCCCTGACAGGCCACCCACTCATACTCCCTTTTCTGACTAGTTAGCTAGAAACTCTGCCCCTTATTCAACCCAGTGACCTTGAGCAAATGGCTTTATCTCTCTTGGGCTCAAACTGTCCTCCTGCCTCAGCCTCCTGAATACCTGGGACTACAGGCATGAGCCACTATGCCCGCTAATTTTTGAATTTTTTGTAGAGATGGGGTCTTGCTGTGTTGCCCAGGCTGGTCTCAAGCTCCTGGCCTCAAGTGATCCTTCCACCTCAGCCTCCTAAAGTTCTGGGATTACAGGCGTGAGCCACTGCACTTGGTTTGTCTGGAGTTTTTTTGACCAGTTTGTGAAATGAGGGTACCTTTCCTCAAGGCCTAGTGTGAGGATTAAAATGAGATGAGGTACCCATGTCAAATTCTGACTAAAAAAAACAAAAAAAAATAAAAAAAATGAGATGAGGAATGCACAGTGCACCTACTGAACACTTAACACAACAGGTGAGTTCTCTTGTCCCTCCTACCACCTAAGAGACCAGCTCAGCCCAATCACCCTCTACTTCGTGTGTCTAGTGTCTGGTTCATAGTAATTCCTTAATAAATCCTGGCATCCTGTGTTCCATTCCATTTTTACCTGCCTTGCCCAGGTCCTTGCCTTGTGATGACAAGGTCCCCGGTCTCCCTCCCAGGTCCCTTCTCCCACCTTTTCCTCCTCCCAGGTCCCTTCTCCCACCTTTTCCTCCTCGCCACAGCCTTGTAACTTCCTTAGGACCAGCTCTGACTCCTGCCCTGGAGACCTGAAGATCACTTTCTATCCTCCCTGCTTAGTTACTGTTAACCCCCCTTACACCCATGTGTTTGTTCCCCAAACTGGATTCTCTGCCATCTCCCCGAAAGGAGTCACCATTTTTCACCCCCAGGGCATTGCTTCAGGCTCCTCTGCTGCCTAGAATTTTCTCCCTTCAGTTTCAATGTGTCAACTCCACAGGCTGAACCTCCTCCAGGGAGATTCCCCATACCCACCCCCACCCCCATCTCCATTTCACATTTGGGGCTGGTGAGCTTTCTGGTTGAGCCCCTTAGTAACGTGGCAGATCTGCAAGCACGTGGCTTTCGCAACATATTCTTTGTCAACTATTTTCTTTCCCCTCCTGAATCGTAAGTACCTTTGAAGACAGGCTGTGCATTATACAGTTTTGCGGATTGTTCTAGATGAACAATAAAGGCTGCTTTCTGGGCCTGGCAATATCTCACAGGGCCTGCTGCTTTCACGGTGGGGACGCCTGGGCGATTAACATAACCCCAAGGTTCAAGGGGCCTCAGCATCCTTGACCCTCTGAGCCCTGTGGAGTGGGAGTTAAATAGTAGCCCAGGATGGGTGGGTTGTGGTTACTGGTCAAACTCAATCCTCCAAGGCAGCTGGCCCAGCCTACAGTAAACAAACCCGTGCGGAAATTTCATCTCCCCCTTTCTCCCCGAGAAGGACAGAGCAGAAGCGCAGGCTCCAGGGTGCGAGTGGGGCTGCCACGGGAGGAGGCAGCGAAGTTCATTAGCCCCCTCATTTGGGGCAGTGGGAATCCGTGTGGTGACAAACAATTGTCCTGGAGGATTTAGGGGGATTTGCCCAAGTGTCCCTGTGGGCCCCCAGCCTCCTCCTAATCCCGTCCACATTTCAGACTACTTAGGATCGCATTAAATGTCAAAGCCGGCGTTTAGGGAAATATCTACATTTCGTTTGCATCGCCCGGGTCAAAAGAAAAGCTGAAACGAACCTCGGAGCATTTGGCGCGAGAGGCGCTCTGTGTGGTCCGGAGTGTGAATGGGAGGGGGGGGCGGCGCCCTCGCGGCCTCCCCGCCCAGGAATGCGGGCCTTTCACATGTAGAAAATGCTAATGCTTTGTTCCTGCCTCGGCCTCCCGGAGGCGCGGAGGCGCCCGGCCAGATTGTCACAGCTGCATTTGCATGCGAGCTGCCCGCGGCCCGGTCCCCACCCCCAGCCCTCCCCTCCCCCAGCGTGGCTTTGCCTGGGACTCCGGGGACTCGCGGAAAGGCCGCCTGCAGATGTCCTCTGCCGTCACTTAATCCCTGGCAAAGCCGCAGGTAGCTGCTTTCTCAATGAATGGCCTCTTCCCTGAGGCCCCAGGCAGGTGAATACGTCTTACTCCGCGCTCTACACTAAGATGTTGGCACTCTCAGTTATTTTATAGGAAACAAGACTATTC